CAATTCTGGACTGACAGACTTATCTTGAGATCACCGTAGTGTTTATACTCATACCTGTAACCTTTGTGTTGGATGCTGTGCTCCTGCAACTGGGGAGGGAAGGGGGCTTTCAGGTGACCATGAAACCCAGAGCAAATTGGTGTGTATTCTTAGGAGATGAGCATATGCTGCTAGAAATAAGCCTGTCACATCTGCTTTCGGTCTACTGCAAGGTTTAGTGCTCTCTGGGTACAGGGCTTTACTCTGGAGAAGTCAGCCACACAATATACCCCCTTTTCATCTCTCCAAAAAGCTAGGGAGTAGTTGGTGTTCTTCTCCATTAACAATTTAAGAACTGGGTGACTTTTGAAAATAACTAACCAAAAACTAAGATTGAATTGTTTTTATGGTGCTTACTCTTAAAGAGTGTTACTGAAACTTCCTAAGAAGTACAAAAACATGTTGAGTTAGTAAGAATAACATCTGGAAATTACACCAACACGGAGGCTTAAGGGGCGTCATCTGTCCTACTAAATTGCTCTCACTTAGTTTGCAAAATATCCAACTCCCTTGGCAGTACTGTTGCTTCATGGATTTTGTGATCTTATTACTCTCCTCAGAAGTATCTGGCATTGGATATGATTAGAGTCAAGCTACTGGGAGAGATAGATCTGTATTCCTAAGATTATGGATGAGGAAAACAATTTATCTGGAATTTTTCAGCTAGTCTGTGAATATGAGGATTCCAAGATATTTTCTTATTCATCACGGTTCTGTCAAGTGAGAAATGGACCTTAGCAAAGTGCTCCAGCCAATGAAAGTCTCTGTGCTCTCACATTAGATTGAACTAAGTTTAAAGTTGTGTGTATTTGGCGATTCCTGTAGTCTTGGAAAAGCATCCACTTATTTATTCAATTGGTCACAAAATGTACTTTCCTCTTAACTTGTTTTCTTGTCCCTATGGAGATAATTAACTAAGTGTTAGTTGAAAAAATAAGGACTGTATGTTTGGGAGAGTGCATTGGTATTTTTGACCTTTGCTCTTTAGACACCTTGTTCATCCATAAGTCTTTATGTTTAAAAAAAAAAACCCACACTTTGAGACTCTGAATTTTAAAAATTTACTCCTACTGGTAAATCTATCTTGAAAAATAATTATTTTCTTGAAGTGATGCCTGTATTACAATACATAGACTGCAGTGTTAATTTAAGATAGAAAAAGTCGTACTGTGGAGTTGTCTTCATGTCTATGTATGTGGCTTGTCTGGTTAACTTTTTGTTCAACTTTTGAAGTTAAGTCTTTCTTTTCCACTCAAGCTACTCGTACTACTCAAAAACTCTTACTACTTTAGTCAGATTCTAGTATTTCTCCCATTAAATATGTTCATGCTTTCAAACCTGTAAGGAAGCTATTTTTCATCATTCCTTAAATATAAATGACTTTTTTTTGTCTTCAGGTCAACTGATATGGTAGACTTAGTACCAGTCTTGTCATTGGCCATTTGTTCTATGTGCAATTTGTTTCAGAACTTGCTTCAGTTCACCTGCGTATTTTTTCAGTTCTAATATGGCAACTTTGTTGAAAATACCTCATAATCACTGGTCATTTTCCAACTGTGTATTGCACTGTGGCATGAAAACCAGGGCAGAATAATTAATTTACTTATTGGTTCATGTCTTGATCATTGTGTATTGCCAGAGGAATCCAAATCCTTATTTTCTTTATTATCCAAACAAGAAAGACTGTGTATGTAAAATGTTTGGTTTATCTGATTTCCTTTATACATTCTAAACACGCTCAGTTTTTTTTCCCTGTGTTTCCCAATGCCTAATCTTACTTTCATTGGATTTCCCTTTTATTCAATTTAAACCAAATGAGCTCAAATTAAAACTCGGTTAAAATCATATAACAGTTGTCTATATTTTGGCTTATCTGAATATCTTCATAAGTAAATCTAGAACAATCTCAGTGAGTATATTAATATATATATATGTATATATTTTACATCTAGCAAGCATTTGAGTGACCACTTTTATTTGCCTGTGTTTTTTCTTTGTATTTTGGAATTTCATTTTCTTTATTGGGACACCAGTTGCTTCAGGAATGTAACAATACTGTAGAATGTTCTGTGCATATTGCTGTGCTGCTCTGATTCTGTAATACACTCTTGCACTACCATGTTAAGTTGCTTTTATCTTTCCTTCCCCATTGTCATAACTAAATTCTATCCTTGCTGCTACTATCATTTTATCCACAGTATATCAAGTTGCTTAAGTACAAAGCTGCTTCAACATGCTCATTTTCAGTGTTTCTTGAACAGAACTGGCTCTTCTGTAGGGAGCCTGGTACCTTGCCCATTGTGTTTTTGTTACTTCCAGGCAACTTCTTGTAGCATCCAGTTTCATTTCCTATGCTATTCTAATGGTAAAGATTACTTCTTAGACAGTATGGAATTCTTGGTGTTTGTGCAATGAAGACTATCAGTTCTTCTATATCCCTGGGGGAGGTTGAGGTCATACTTCTCTTTCTTCCCACAAGGAGTGGGTAAAAAATGAACAACTGTCTTGCCAGTGTAAAGTAGTCTTCAGGAGTGAAACGTCTGTGCCCACAGAGACTTGAACTCTGCATAGATGTAGTACTGTGGAGCAGAGCGTGACCATGACAGAGCATGAAGGAGAGTATGGTGCAAGGCAAGATAATGCTGTTGTCATTCTTTCTGACAGTAGCTGCCATCTTTTGGCTGTGAATCTTCAGATTCTCTTCAGAAAAACAAAAGAACAGTTGATATACAAATGTGTAGTTGACATCTATCTCCTTTTGAATTTATAGGAGTTTTCTGCTATGCTGCAAGACAAAAGGACTTGAAATAGCAGAGGGGCTTTAAAAAATAAATGAGAGACTGATTGGGTTGGGATTAGATTAAACTTTGTTGTTGGCCTTGTGCTGAAATCTCCCCCTGTGAGCACGCAGCAGGGAAGGTGATGAGGATTTAGGCCCCATTATTTCTTGAGTACCACCAATAACTTTTCTAAATTCCTTTTCTCCTACTCCTTACTGGAATAGTTATATGCAACAGGCATGTAACTGTCCAGGGAAATTTTTGTGCAGAAATTGGCTGGAGCTCTTAAACCATGGATCTGAGTATTTCTGTGAATATTTTAAATGTTACAGATGAGATGTTGGACTCTTCAATGCCATTAAGTTTTGTTGATGACTTACTAAGGTCAGGGTTTCACTTATGTTTACATTTGTATTGGACTTTCTTTTGGTGGTACTCTGAAGGTGGGAAGGTTTTTCATTATTTTTCTAAAACGGTGCTGATCCAGTGGTGCATCTGGATTCACTTTCAGGAGGGGACAATACAGAACAAAATTATTAAAGAAAAAAAAAAGATGAAATCAAACTCAAAAGGCTGCATTTTCCTGTTTTATATGAGGAAACTTCATGTTTTCCCAATTGAAGCAAGCTATGATTTTTTGAATCTGCTACTATATATCATGACTGCTAAAGGTAATAATGCAGTCATTATCAAAGGTATGCTGCAAGGCACCATGGGCTGACATTCTCAAATCACCATGTAAATCTGCCTGACACAGCCTTACAAGAAATAAAACACGTCTGAAAGCTCCGATGTTTAGTCTAAAAACACACATGGCTGTGGTTGCTGTTTTAGCCTATGCAGACTAACTGTAGAAGCCTTTTGTCAGCTTTCAGGCCTACTGAGTGGTGTCAGCTTGATTTGTGTCTTAATTTGCTGACTTTTTGGTTTGATGCTCTCCGTTAAAATTCACATAAATACTCTGTGTGTTTTTGTTTTATTTAGCAGCTTTACCCAGTCTAAATGTTCCTCGAAAGGCTGCCAGTGATATCTCTGGAGCTAAGAGAAAGCATTTTCAACACTGATGCACTGGTAGACTCGTTTTCTTTCACTGTGTGTATGATACAGAAAAGATGGAGACAGAGGAAAAGTTTTATAAACTGATGATATAACCAAATGCAGAGAAGAAACACAGTGTTGGTCATGCAAGATCTTTCCTTTATGGAAAAATAACAAATAAAATGATGAGACTAATGTAAGACATGAAACACTTCAGCGAAGGGCCTTTTGTGGCACTAAAGCTTGTTCTGCTAAGTTAATGGATTCTCCTTGCTCCATCTCACTTGCCTCTGGTCTGTAGGTCTGCTTTGTTTGACAGTGATGACTCTTTACTGGCAGTGGCTACAAGAAACCAGGAAGCAGTCCAGGACTGGTCTGCAGTCCAGACTTGCAATTAGGATGGTGCTTTAACACCATTTTTCCTTGCATATTGAAGGCACACGTGATTGGTTGTGATAACATTCCTGATGAGACACTACAGACTTTCCTCACATAGCCTAAGTTAGCAGACTAGCATCAATGTCCCTTTTTCTTGGAGCAGGCATGATGTCACTTCTAATACAGAATACAAATCAGGCAATTTGTATGATATTTTAATGTTATATGTGTATTGCTTGTGTGGCCAGAATGACTCCCCTTATGCCTTCAGTTAAGGAGAGGTCCACAGGCCAGTGCAAGGATGCAGGTGGTGTTTCTTTTTGAGGGTGAAATTAAGCTTTTATTTTCTTTTTTTTTTTTAATTTTTTTCTTTTTTAAGACTGACAAATTGACAAATTCTCTTTGGACTTCTGATAAAGATAGATATATTGTAGAAATATTACCCATCATTTAGAAGTAGTGTCATTGCCCTTGCTTAAATGAGTCTCCCTATATGTTTGAAAACAGAAAATGGTGTTACATCTGTTGTGTATTGTTAAATACCTGCCATATCACATATCTTAAGCCATAATTTATGTATGAAGCATCCTGACATGCTTCCTAAATCTCCCAGTGACTGCAACAAAGCTAGGATCTTGTCTATGATATAGAAAGATATTTGTTGTCTGTAACTGATAAACTTTAATTTAAAAAAATCTAGGTTCACGTGTGGTGCTGTCAGTATTTGTCACTACTAAATACTGTATCTTGTTTTGCTTTCCACAGGTAGAGTCACCCCAGAACAGCTCAGCTCCTATGTACAACTTTTCAAAAATAATTTCAAAGCTTTGGAGAATCACTGTGGTCTTCTACAGCTTGTGCTGGCTGTAGTCCAGACTCTGAAACACCCTCAGATTTCCAAATGGGACAACTTCCTAGCCTTTGAGAGATTACTTCTGCAGGTACATACTATGTTAGTTTCTTTTTTTTTTTTTCTACTTAAGTCAAAATGTTTTATATATATGTATTTTAAATTCCTTTTGAATTCTGTAGCTTGTATTTTTTTTCTAATGGAGTTTGTAGAATGCATCATTAAGAAGCTGTCCTTTATTGTTAAAATAGAGAAGGAATGGGAACATACATAGTTAATCTTTTTTAGTTTTGTCTAGGAGTAATTTTAGAAATGAAAAGGTAAACCCTAAAGGTGAAATATATGAATGATCCAAATTGGATGATTGTGATTATATGTATATGAAATATCATGATGATAAAGCTTCTAGCACTAGATAGGATTACTATTACTGTCACACTGAAGTCACACTTGAGGTAATGGGTTGCATCAAATGCAGAGAAGACTTTATTACTCTGTGTTGCTCTATAAGACTTGTATAATTTACCAAGGGGATGAAAATGTAGTAGAAAATTCCATGCAGGAGAAAGTGAAGATTCTTTCACTCAAAAACATCTGCCCTCTGCTTTTCCCACAGTCACCTTTTTAAGGCATCCTGTTGGTGGCTACAGTATTGTTGACATACCCTCTTGTATCACACATGGATTTCTCTCAGGAAGTTAAGAGCTAGTGGCATTTCAAACTCTATGCTACTAACCTTTGGGAATGTTTGGGGAAAAAGGAAGATTTTTTCCAAGAACTTAAGCATTAATTTTTGCTGAAATCAGAAGCTCGACACTTTCCTCACTGTGCTGTTTCTTCTGCACTTATGTTGGTTTTAGAGAAACCATTTCCTGAAATCTTAGCGGAAGATAATTCCTCATGAGGTGAATTCTCATGAAGTTGGAATCAGCCTTAAGTGAAATGCATAGTTTGGACTTCAACAAAAATATTTGTTTGGTATAAATTTACTATTCCTTTTTCTTGATATTTAAAACAAACCAATCACTCAACCTTCTGCATGATCTCTGTCAGAAGGATGCAATCCCTGGTTCATTTGGAAGTCCCAGCCTGTGCTTTATAGCCTTCTGGTTGAAGAACGTTTGTGGCATTTAGTGGGGAGGGAGGCAAAAGATGCAAAACTTTTAATAGCTCCTGCCTACCTTAATAACAAAAATATTCTGTAAAACCAACCAACAAAAAAACAACAAACCACAGCTGTTCTCCTTTACTAAGACTGAAATATTTTGAGTAATATATGCAACATTGTATAGTTAAGAAATCATAGCAGCCATTCTTTGATTTTTTTTTTTTTTTTTTCTGGATGGTAGAGCATGGCATTTCAAAGCCCATAGTCCCTTTCCCTCTCTTGCCATGAATCGTGTCATGTAGCTCTTCTCAGAGGCTGGATAAGTTCCACCTTAAAACCAGTCCAGTGTTAGAATCAAAATAAAGCTTCAAGCTCAGCGTTGTTTTCACAACAGACAACTGCCTGTAAAATAAAATAAAAAATAATTAAAAAAAAAAACTAAAAACATGCCTGAAATCATCAGGGAATGGAAGAACAGAGGTAAGAAACAACCAAGCTATATATTTCAGAAAAGAAATGTGTAACAAGCACTCTCAAAATCATACACAGCTTTGGATTATAGCCCCTGCCTTCCATACATCATATTAAGGTAAAATATGTTAGCCAAAGCAAACTGTCTGAGCAAACATAATTGCTGCTTAAGGCATACTCATTTTCAGTAGTTCAAACAGCAGTTACTTTGAGTCACACAATCTGTACTGCATGTATTCTTTTACTGGGTCTGTTTTGAAGATGAAGCCTGAGATGCATGATCTGCTTTTGAGCATGTGGCCTACCTCTGATCTGTTGACTGGCTTTTGTAGGAAGAGCAGAACACTAAGAGACCCAGAAGATCACAGAGAAATTTTTATTTAAAAAAGCAAGCTGTAACATTATGTTGCAAATGGTTAGCACATAGCGCTCTGCACTACATTTGGTGCCATGGCAGTGTATTCCAACAGGACTGCTGAGAAATTGTTTAGTGGAATTGTTATATCTCAGACATAAAAAAAAATAAACCTTAAAAGAATCCTCAGTATGAAGGAGTTGTTTCAACATGAGAGAAGTACAGTTGCTATCTTCTATTGGAACTGTGTAGAAGGCATGAAAGATCTACTGGGAAAAATAATATTAGACTCTGGGCAATGTAGAGATTCTAGATTTTTCCCTTATGGATGCATGCCAGACTTCAGCTGATGCCGGAGAAGATAACCCATAATAAACAGCCAGTGTTAGTATTCTCAGATTCCCTAGAAAAATAGATCTACATGTTTTTGGAATTTCTCTCATTACTGAGCTGCTCTGATTGCCCTCCTGATCCTCTGCTTAATCTACATTGTGCTTTTCAGGAAAAGCACACTGCTGACATTAATGCTTTAATCATTAATGCGTTGAATAACCTCTTCCATTTTCCTTCTCATCTGAACATCTTGCTTTCTGTGAATGTTGCCGGTACTCAGTTCTATAAATGGCCTGGTAGAGGCAGAAAGCAGCCTGCTTCCAGTATTTTATCATAATTTAAATCTGTAACTACAATTTTAGTCCTATGATTATTATATGTCTCCAGTAAGGAAGTTTTGGTTTTGACTAGAAATCCAGTGAAAGTCAGTGCATCTGCTTACTTGATACGGATTTGTTTTCTCCTTAAATTAAATGGATGAGTGGTCTGAGAGTGAAGTCGGATTAAAATGGGATTATAGCCTTGATCACAAGGGAAAGTGATTTCTGTGCTGGGTTAGCAGAAATGCATCAGGATGTTCCATCTTATCAATCATTAGTTTTCTGCTGCTCTACCTCTGCACATGATGGAGCTTTTGCTACCATAAGTTTTAAATGTTCTGTGAATTAAAACAGTGTGCTCTTTTTACCAAGAAGGTATCCTACCTCACAGTATTTTCCTTCTCTTGAGGTTTTCTTTCCTTTTTTTTTTTTTCTTTTTTTTCTAATTCCAGTCATCTGTGAGGCTGATTGGTGGGAAATAGAATACAAAAGCTGTGCCATGCTTCCTCCCAGTACTTCCCATGTCACTGCCTTGTTTTCCTTCAAGTGAGGATTTAAAGTTTAGGGAGGTAATACAGAGAAAGTAAGAAAGAGTCATTTCACACTTTTCAACTATCTTCAGCAATATCTTCTCCTGTTTTCCTCAAAACTGGGACATTCGTGGAGGTTTATTAAGCAGTAGAAACCCGTGAAATACAAAAGCACAAGAAGATTTCTTTTTGGAACTTAAACAAAATGTGGGATTGTAGAGTAAAAATGTTCTTGTTTATTATTTGTAGTATGTACTGCTTATAGATGCACTAAGCAGGAATTTCCAACTCCACATTGAGTATAAAAGTACCCAGCAGCATCAAACAGTGTAAAAGATGTGCCCTTGGGAAGTGCAGTTATTCTGTAAAAGGTCTTGCTTTGAAGTTCCCCAGGTGGAATACTGCTTCTTACAACTGGCTGCATCCTTCTGGAATAAACTTGCTGTCAAGTTTTAAGAGCATAATGCTTCTCGTACTGACAAGGATTCTACTTCATGAATTGCCCCATCCGTTCAGTTCCCAAGGTTGGGAATTATTCAGTGCTGGCAGGTTTATCAGATTGTTTCTAAAATGACATGTGGAGTACTTTGAGGGGAAAATACAATTCACTAAGCAGTTTGAAATTCTACTACTGTACTCTGCAGTGAGACGGGGAGAATTTAATTTGATTACAAATTTTTGTAGGTTGCCAAGAGCCAAGATGTTCTGTCACAATGAAAAATTTCCTCTTAGTACCATCATTTCTCTGTGGCAACAAATTCTGCTTATAGTTTTGTCACCTGATACTGCATGGCAGCTAAGGATCTTTTATGTCTTCTCAAGCAACTGCCTGCTGTGCATTTTAAGTATAAACCTTTCTATTAAACTGAGTAGATCTAAACTGCCAGTTCTTGTGAGTGGTGTTTGGATCCCATAGTAGAGAGTTCTAGTGTAAATGCCTATTTAATGATTTCTTTCTGTAATGGATAATGCAAATGTACCAGAACTACTGTATTAAAATAAATCCACTGTTCAAAGTAAGGAATCTTTTTGTCTTTCGTGATATTGATAGGGAGGGCATTGTTGCTTCTTGAGGCTTTGTGTGGCAGATTTTATACCTGCTGACTGGCATTTCAGAGTTTAGTGGGGAATTAGACAGCTTCAGCACTGAGAAAGCAAAATCCTCCAAAACAGTTCAGTTTCATTCCATAAGTGAAAAACTAGAGTGTAAACTGGGGACTACGTTGTTCTGGTTGGCTCTAGGTAACTTTATGATTTGTATCCAGCTAAAATCCTCTTGACTTTCACCTTTTGTGATCGTTTAACTTCTCAGGCTTAAAGCCTTTTGAATTAGGGCCGAGTCCTCTGTAGGCTTTTCAGTCCTTTCAGGTCATGCACCTCCAGCTGTGGCACCAGAAATGTCAGCAGGGAGTTTGGAAATGTGTTTTTGACAACAGTTACTCATTTGGCCTGAAGATGTCTGCAACCATCCCTCTCGTAATGTCCTATTTCTCTTCCATTTGAGTTTGTGTTCAGCCTCAACACAGACTGGAAGTATAGAACACTGACTGTTTAGAAAAACAGATGCAGTGCTGGGATGTCAATTTGCAAGCGATGATTCCAAGATGAGCAGCCACGTATTTCTATATGAAATTCATTCTTATTTATGAATTCAATACAGAATGTGTAGAATATCTATTCTACATTTAACTTGATTGTTTTTAGTAGAAGAATTGCTAACTGTTTAAAAAAATTTCAGGTTCTTTTTTGGTTGTTTTCTTTCTTTTTTTTTTTTTTTTTTTTTCAAAGACATGATATTACAAGAAAGGGGACGCCTTAAAATTTTAGCAAAAGGTATCTGGAGTTTTTATTGGCATCTAGTAATAATGTAAGTAGGTCAAATACTATAATAGTGGAAGCTGTGTATACATGCTTACATGGATAGCTCCTGGAGATCCGTGGACATACTATTTTCATGTTTTAATTTTCAAATAC